AGTGCGCTTTGTTCAGTAGTGTGAGTTGTTTTAGGTTTTTTCATAAGATTGCCAAAAGCAGATTTAAAAAGTGATTTTCCTTTAGATGAAGATGTGTGTGTCGGGGGAGGGGGTGCGTTGTCATATTGTGCACGAAACTCATTAAATAAGGCATAAAATAAATTACTAACCTCGTTGTATTCAACTTGCGGATCTATGGCGTTATCATCATACATTGGAAATGGACCAAAAAAAGCATTATAATAGAACTTCAAACATTCTTCCAAATTACCAAGTCTATAACGAGGATCGAGAATAAATGCAATACTATAAATATGCGGAATATGCGCATAATTTTTTAAAAACTTTTCCTTCATAAAACCACAAAAATAACTCACGTAAGCGGCATTCTCAAATACATTAAAAGCACCGGCGAGATTAACAACTTCACGAATAAATTCGTTTGAGGTAGGTTTATAAACATGACTAAAACTATCAGTTGCATTATTAAAATATATCAAAACATTACAAATTTTTTCGCAAGTGTCGATGTGAGCGGGGTTTAAAATATAGTTATCATATTGTCTTAAAAAAGCAGGAAAATGTTCTTTATATCTAAGAAGAACTTTAATTAATTTATAAGTACTATTCCACCGAATAGACAAATCTTTAGGAAAAGCAACATATTTCACACCTCTTTCAATCAAATAATTTTGCCATTTTAATTTAAGTTGACCATTGCCCCAAATACGTCTAATCCCCCCTTGACTACCTCCATAGCATCTTCTTACGCTTTTATACCATCTTGCACATATAAATTTATAATATGGCATATATGCACATCGTTGATGAAAAAATCTACCCATCAAAGTATTAGAACCACACAATTCACGCAATCTAGGTATAGCAGCAGTATTATTAGTAGCATTATCAAAACCTATAGCAAATACCTTATCAATCAAATTATACTCAGTTAAAAACTTAAAATACGTTCAATCAAAATATAAATATGTTCAGCGGTGTGACGATCATTAAATTTACGAAAAGCAAGAACACGTTTATGCAAATTCCAATCACTATCAATAAAATGTACAGTCAGGCCCAAATAATGTAAATTATGATAAGTATCCACCCAAATGTCAGAACAAATAGTAACACGGCCATCAAAGTTTGCAAAAAAAAATTGTAACCTATCCTTTTCCGCACGATAAAGCCTTATAATTTCTTTCTTAACCGTTTTGCGACTATAACTTCTAAATTGAGGATTTAAACAAGTTTGTGCATAATCTTTAAAAGCAAGACTTTCAGAAAACAAATAAGGCAAATTTTCTTCAACAAGTAAGTTAGCCATACCAGTCAAATTTTGTGCATCAGTGTATGAGAAATTGCCAAAAGGTTGGTCATTTGCAAACCTCGATATTTGAGTTTGCTTCCCCTTCCCTTTGTCTATTTTCGCATACTCCACAGAGTGCGCGGACTTAAGATGCCTTTTGAGGCTCCCGTATCCGCCGGAAGTTCCCAAGCTATACTCCTTCTTGCAATGATCGCAACTTGCGTACCATTTATCGGTTTTTGGGTCTTTCCTCTTTGTAAAATTATTTTCTATAATAGGAGATTTAGATTTCTTACCAACTTGGGATGGACCGCCCTCGTCCTCCTCCGCATCATCCGGGTGCTGTGAGTCCCATGGCCCCCCTCGTCCTCCCCCGCATCGTCATCCTCAAGCTCCTTTTCATCAATGGACTTCGGGATGTTTTGTTGTTGGAAAAAGCAACCATCATTTTGTGCCAATAGTTGTTGTAGTTGCTCGTCGGACATCGCATCCCCATCTCGCCTTTGGTATCCGTCATCAAAATCTTCTCGACTTTGAGAAGAAGACCTGGCCCGCCCTTTACCTTTGCCTTTGCGTAAACTAGGATGACTTGTCGCAATCTCCTTCCTTCGGTTGCGTTGGAGACTACCCACATCTACGGAATGTCTGGCACGGTCCATCTTTAAAATGTAACAAATATTATATGATATCAAATGTTTTAATATGAGTACAATAGTAATAATAAAATGCGACTAATAAAATTAACTACTTTTATTAGTTTATACTTTAATGCAACAATTAATAATTAACTAGTTTTATACTTGAATGAAAAATGTAACAATTAACTAGTTTTATACTTTAATGAAAAATGTAACAATTAACTAATTTTATACTTTAATGAAAAATGTAACAATTAACTAGTTTTATACTTGAATGAAAAATGTAACAATTAACTAATTTTATACTTTAATGAAAAATGTAACAATTAACTACTTTTATACTTGAATGAAAAATGTAACAATTAACAATTAACTACTTTTATACTTTAATGAAAAAAGTAAATATTAACTAATTTTATACTTTAATGAAAAATGTAACAATTAACTACTTTTATACTTGAATGAAAAATGTAACAATTAACTAGTTTTATACTTGAATGAAAAATGTAACAATTAACAATTAACTACTTTTATACTTTAATGAAAATGTAAAAATTATCTAGTTTTATACTTTAATGAAAAATGTAACAATTAACTACTTTTATACTTTAATGAAACATGTAAAAATTAACTAATACGATGAATTTAATTACTATGAATTCAAGTGTAACTAATATAATTGTATAACTAATATATAATATAATGTTTATAGTATATAATATATAAGGAGTAAAGGGTTAGTTTGGTCCTCGAAGTTGCACAAAAGGGGTCAAATAAGTCCTTATATAGGAAGTTCTATCCGGCCGAAGCCATTTGGGGCGGTTCCCGGTGGAATTTTTTGATGAATTTTTTTTAGCATCTTATTCATTAAGTCTAGTTCACTCATATCAAATTTCAGATAAGAATTCAATCGGGAAGACATTCAAATGAATTCTTGAAGATAATTGTGCAGTTAAAAGCGCAGTTATCTTCAAGAATTCATTTGAATGCCTTCCCGATTGAATTTTTAGATGAAATTTGGTATGAATAAACTAGACTTAATGAATAAGATGCTCAAAACATTTTATCAAAAAATTCCATCGGAAACCGCCTCAAATGGTACGTCCGGACAGAATCTTCTATATAAGGACTTATTTGACCCCTTTTATGCAACTTCGAGGACCAAACTGACCCTTTACTCAATATATAAGTATATTACTATAAGATGAGTAATACACTTATATATAATACTTTAATATATATAAGTAAATAACAATAAATATAGATAACAAAGTAAATATTAAAAAGATGGAGATGTATAAGTGGATAATAAGTATATATTAAGTAGATAATAAATATTAGTAATATAATATATGTATATAAGTAGATAATTAATATATAAGTAGATATAATAATTATATAATAATATATATATGTAGAGAGGTTTGGAGAAGATGAAGATGGAGATGATTAAGATTTAAGAGTATGAGGGAATAGAGAATTAGAGAGTAGGAAGAGTTGGAGAAGAGGTGTAAAAAATGTATAGAAAATAGGAGTATAAATATATATATTTTTTATCCCCACCCCCAAAACCCTTGGACCCCCCTCCCACCCCCTCCACGGCTATAGAGCCGTTTGGGAGGTCTCCCAACGGCTAGAAGCCTTCCAATTATTTAAAAAAAAAAAAAAATAGCCGTTAGGCCCGAACCGGGCCCCGCCCGGCCGGGCCGGTTCGCCATTTGAAGGGCCCGAGACCGAACCGCTACTCCACCGGGCCGGGTCGACCCGAACCCCCCCCCCCCCCCGACCGGTTCCCAGGCCGGGCCGGTTCAAACAGTAACCGGGCCGGGCCGGTTCCGGGGCGGGCCGCCCGGCCCGAGTCCAGGCCAATTCATGACGAAGAAGTGCCTATAATTTTGACAACACATTTTTTAAATAACTTTTTTTATGTATCCCATGAATATTACTTGTGAGTTTTCCTCTTAACTACTCACATTAATAGTTATTCCACGATCGAGTAACTAAGTAGAAAAATAACGATCAACAAAAATGACTTATAATTATAATAATAAATTATGTTATACTTTAGAAATTAATTTATAGACAACTTACATTGAATTTAAGAGTTATATTTAATATAATCTAACAAATATTAACATGAGGTGGCATATAGTGAGAATGACCAAAATTGAGGGGGTAAACGATTGAATTTTGAAAATGCAAGGTTGCAATAATAATTATGACATAACCACAGAGGGTTAATAGTAATTTTCCCTTAAATGAACTAGTTCAAAAGTCAGCTACTTCAAAAATCAAACGGAAACCCATTAAAATAAATAAACATTGTAAAATCAATTAATCAAAAAATCAATTGCTTCAAAAAATATATTAATGAATGGACGAAACTAACTACGAATCGAATATAGTCAAATAAGATACGAATCAAATACATGTATAATCGCATTCGAATTTTATTCGAATACTAAAACCGATTCGTATTCGTATTCGATTTTTTCGAATTCGAATCACGAATCGGATCACATATTTGTCTAGATTGACCGCATGTTACCCTTCATGTAAGCTTTTATATTCACAAAGCAGTTGTGTCATTATACACTACCCATCCAACTAAATTTTGACAACTTTGCTTTCTTTAATTTTCATAAAACCTGTCACTTTCATATAAACTATCACTTACCCTTTGTTTGGTTTAAAAAAGGAGGAAGGGTATTGGCGAGGAGACTAGGGATGCCGGGATGGAGGAAGGACTTTGTCAAGCTCTTACTTCCTAGAGTTCCTACTTCCTTCAACCAAACACATGGATATTCACTTCCCTTCAAAATCCTCCAGCCAAACAGAGCCGTAATATCTTTGACTGATTGAGACCCGACACTACAAATTTCAAGAACACAATATGCTACTTAAAGTAAGCTTAACATCATACTTCGATATCCACACGACGATGCCCAATGTCCTTGAGAGGTTGCAACTGTGAACTATCCAGCTTCAGTACTGTAATTGGCAACTACTTAATTGTTCTGTTGACAACTCAGTTCATATAAGTTGTATAACCGCAGAAATGTAAAAAATTCAGAAAAAGTATATTGTATGGTAATTGTTTTAATGACTACAGCCGCCATCAGTTTACAGGGCTAATTAAGACACATCACAAGATTTAAGCAATCTGATAAACCACTAGGGATTTATACACCAAACTCAATGATATAATATTGTTAATCCTCATCACTTGAGAAGTCAATGTCACTACTAGCATCAGGTTGCTGGAGCCAATGTAGAAAAGACATTGCCTCAGCAAACTCATTTAATTCTTCATCACTAGAATCCTCTTGCTCCAGAAATCCTCGGGGTCTATGTGGTGGCCTGTACAGCTCTTCGAATAAATTAACCAGGCCATCAATATCTGTGTCGGAGCTTAGTCCTACTTCATCCATGTCTGGAAACCTTGATCCATATGAATCGGGCATAATAACAGAATTCCACAACAATGAACCAGGTTTGACAGTATGCTGAAAGAAAACAGAAATATCATCCATCAGGGAAGTGGTAAGCCATCAAACTAGTAAAATTCCAAATGCGAATTGAATAAAAGGGCTTTTTGTTTCGGAGATTTCATTTAGAAGAGAAGGGGAGGATTAATTTTTATTATACTAGTTTATACCTATTAGTAAGTTCTAGACTATAAATAACTATGACTGTTTGACTAGTTAGATCATTTAGTTTTTTATCTTCACTTTATTTTCAACCATCCAAATGTAGAAGTTAATTTAAAAATGAATATCACCCCTTGCCCTCCTCTCCAAATTCATTGAGCTAAAGAATCCCTGAAGTAGCTCGGCAGTCATCAGGGTCACAGTGAGCAGCAAGAGGAGAGGAGCTGCTAGTGACCCTTAGCACTGCATCATGCGAAAATTCAATTTCGCCATGCTTGGTTAATTGACTCAATTTAGCTGTTAGCAATCACATTTGATAATTCTAGGTTAGGCAAGTGGCTTAATTACAGCTGTGATAGTACACACAAATGTTCTCTCTTTCCCTCCCTCCCTCACTACTCAATCAGGAGAGACAGGAAACACATTTGAGAGGCAGACGCGCATGGAAAAGCCACCAAGCCCATTAAAATGCTTTTTTATAATTCATTTGAATGGACTACAACATTGATACACACCAAATATCACTATTTGTCTTTCCGACAACTAGGAAATGCAAATATTCCATCCACTTGACACCACAATACTAACGATGACATGTCAAACTAATATTACAGTTGTGCTACAGAGATATCTAAAATATTAAATGGGTACCTTGTAGAAACAGCTAGTCCCAAATGGGCAAAGCCCATTTCCAAATTCAAAGTGCTTGCAATCAATAGTCCTGAAAAAAGACAGAGATAGCAATTAACTACTCAAATTAAACATGATAAATAAATAAAAACTAATCGAAAGTCCATTCTTTTGGGAAGAAAGGTAGCATGACAGGTAAAAAGAAGTTTAATAAAACATCACAACTTCTACCCAGTTCAAGTTAAGAAAGGAAAGGCAGACTTTTTTATGCTAACTAATGAACTGAAAAATCTTGACTTGTTCAAGTACTCAAGTATCATACATTCATCAAATACTTATAGAGTCCACACAATCAACTCAGCATAGAATTACTTGTATTTGCTTAGAGAGAGATATAATACTGATATTAGAAAAAGAATTTAGGTACCTATGCCAAAGTAGCTCCTCCCACCCCTCCCCTTAAAAATACACAAAGCAACAGCGAAATACCTGAGTTTTGCTTTGTAGCTGTCAATAATTTCTTGTTTTTCTTCCTTCGTATTGTACCAAATCACGCTGGGAATGACAAAATAAGACCGCTTTCGGCATATAGGGCATGCCCTTAATGCAGAATTTACATCCACCCCAGATGATGGAGAGCTACCACGCCAATTCCTGATGCACAATATGCAAAAAGGATGGTCACACTCTGATAAGATTCCGAATTTGCGTTCAGCTTCTGTTGGCTTGGAGAGAACACGCTCAAGGCACACACTGCACTCTATTTCTTGACTATGTTTTAATATTTCCACATGTTTTTGTCTTTTCTTGCATGATTTTAAATGCTCCTCTCTTTCCCTAGGTTTAAAAGGATTCAGACAATGCTTTCCACAGGTGGGACATAAATCTCCATGAATATGAGAACACTTCCCGCCCCGAAGACAGTTACCAGCTGCTGCAAATGAGCAGATTGACTGATCAGTTAGACCACAAACAGTCACCTCATCTATGACATCAATCTGTAATAAATCTTGAGATGCTGAATTGTGACTCATAGCTGGTTTCCTATGCCCCGAGAAAGACGATGCAGAAGACTGCAAGTGTGAATCTTTAACGTGTTCATATCTGCACCTGCTCCCAAAAGCACAAGTTCCTTTTTGGTAATAGGCACAAACCTGAAAAGTATGATATTGCCAAACTTCAGATAGATGTTTGATAATTAGTAAGTAGCATGGCTAGCACATCAAATAGTCCAGAATCCTTACATTATCTGAAGGTGATTTCATATCATGCAAAAACTCACAGTGCTCCCCTTTTAGACATCCCCCCTGTGCAAAGAACTTGCAAAGAACCCTGGAGATTTGGTATAAATGAATGAGCTTAGGGAGTCACGGATGGAAATTTGCTGAAGAAGTAAGTTCGAGTATGAATTAGGAATTGAAGAACTACCACATTAATGATTTACTAGGGATAATTTGAGTTTGCACCCCATATTATTGTCAAAATTGGACTTTGCACCCCGTTTTTAAGAACCTTTGTTTTTGCACCCCAACCATGTATGAAAAGACAAAAATGCCCCTCGATCATGAATATGTTGAAGGGCAAAATAATTGTTAATGGAGGGGCATTTTTGTCTTCGGGGTTGGGGTGCAAAAACAAAAGTTTTTAAAAACGGGTTGCAAAGTCCAATTTTGACAATAATATGGGGTGCAAACTCAAATTACCCCGATTTACTACTCTGTATTGTGTATATTCAATAATAAAAGGAATTTCCTCAGATTTCATAAGAAATAATCATTGGGCAGATCCAAATGAAGTTTTTTAAGAAGTATTACAAATACAGCAAGATGATCCTCGTTCGGGTCTGTTTCATACTTTCTTCCATTCAATCTTATCGCTAGAATGATTAAGTGTTTATATGAAAAAAAGAATCTGCAAGCATTCAATTCCCCCTCAAGTGGAATTCGCAATGGATTCAACTAAAAAGTAGTATCACATTTCTGTGGGACCAAATTACCAAATACCAACCTCATCTAAGCCCACATCAACAAGATATGGACAAAGGGTTGAGTCACCTCCATTACAAAACACAAAAGTAACAAAAAAAACACATTCAAAAAATAAGAAAAAGAGTTGGAAATGGAGATGAAGGGCCGAAGCTGGAGGATTAGGGGCGTCCTATAGTAATTTAAATTGAAACGCGAGGGAAAAGACAGGGACAAGATTTCACCCTTTCGGCATGGCTGTGATCTTCGGTAGGGAAACGGAGCCCTAGAAAAGCTCCGATGCAGATAGAAGTTGATGATATTTGAAATCCGACGGCAGCGGCCTGCTGTCTCGCGTCGCCGGCTCACAGAAAGCTATGGGAACGTGGAGGCGAGAAAAATGAGCGAAATAACAGGGTTTTTTTGCCTTCGGCGGTTCAAACGCGTAAATTCCTGCGTATATAGATGCAAGAATCCTCTAAATATTCAATATGTGGACAAGATTCGGAAAATTCTATAGGTCACACGTTCCTGTCTTTCCTTGATTAATGTGAATGTAACTCAAGCCATTAATAATATAGAATTCTCTACATACAATACATTTTATATAGGGCTCCTTTGGTTGTTTACGCGTTAAATCTTTGCACGCGAAGTGATTACATGCAAAGTGTAGGGAAACAATCATTTTACATGTAAAATAGATTACATTATTTGGTTAGATGTGTAATTTATCTTTAAATTGCACGTAAAGTCGCTGCAGTGCTTCATAAAAGGTATGCAAAGTATTTTGCCACCCCTACGTAAAATACTTTACATGGTACAATGCGAAATGTTTTTAAAAAGTGTCCTACAGTTTACATTAAATAATCAAACCAAACAGTGTAAACATTTTACTTCCTTATGTTTTACATTCTACCAAACACCCCCATAGGGAAAACTATCAAATAAGCTCTCCAACTTTTCAAAAAAATCAATTAAGCCCCCCAACTAAAAATTCAATTAATCAAACCCTCAAACTCTATAAAAAATAGCAATTCCTCTTTTTTTACCGGTAATGAACGGGTCGCCTGATGCAATTGACCGACGATTTTTCTATTTTTCTCTTTTTCTCTTTTTTTCTTTCTTTATTTCTTTTCTTTTTTCTTTCTTTTTTACTTTTCTCCTTCATCCTCCTCCTTCCCGTTCCAGCAAACCCCCTTCTTCTTCCATCTTCTTTGTTCCACTTCCTCTTTCTTCTCTGTGGAAATATAAAATGGAAGGAAGAGAGTTCATATTTGTTCGAATGAAAATGATAACCTCCTATCAAATTGGTTCAATGTACAAAGTATTTATACAAGAGTGTTATACTGTTATTACAGTTTAGAATTTGTTATAACAAATTCGTAGACTAAGAGCTAACTACTTCACATTATTCCTTATGCTCATATATCTTCACAGCCCCCCGTCAAGTTGGACTTGGTGGATTGAAAACAAGTCCTAACTTGGAGAAGAAAGTTTGATGTTGTTGAGAGCTTAAGGCCTTGGTAAATATATTTGCTATTTGGCATGTGGTAGAAACGTGATGTGGTTGTAATAATCCCTCCTGCACTTGTTCTCGAACATAATGAACATCAATTATAAGATGCTTTGTTCGTTCATGCATGACAGGATTTTCTGCAATGTGTTGTGCTGCTTTGTTGTCACAAAAGAGAGGAATAGGCTTGCTAATTAGTTTCCACAAGAAGTTCCTTGAGTAAACCATCTATCCATGTGATCTCAGAAGCAGTGTAGCTCATGCTTCTATACTCAGACTCTGCAGTTGATTTGCTGACAGTCTTCTGTTTCTTGGTTTTCCAAGATATAAGAGAGTGACCCAAAAATATGCAATAACCACTTAGGGATCTTCCAGTTATGTGACATGAACCCCAATATGCATCACAATAGGCCCTTAAATTCAGAGGGTTATGAGCAGGATAAAACAATCCCAAGTTGATTGTAAATTTGAGGTATCTGACAAGATATAGTGCTGCATTCATATGACTAACACGTGGAGTACTGAGATATTGGCCGAGTTGTTGCACACGATAGGATAAATCAGGTCTTATGGATTGAGATATAAGAGTCTTCCAATTAGCTTGTGATATTGATCTGGTTCTGGAAGGAAATCACTAGTGTCACTAGAGAGATTAAATCCAGTAGGCATAGGAAAGGTTGTATGTTTGCATTCCAGCATTTGAGTATCTTGAAGAATGTCTAGAATGTATTTTCTTTGATTCAAGATAATGCCTGTAGAATTTCTGGCAACTTCTATGCCTAAGAAGTATCTCAAAGATCCAAGGTCTTTTATAGTAAAAGCCTTATCCAGTGCTTGCTTGATGTGAGTGACCTGTGTATCATCATTTCCTGTAATGAGTAGGTCATCTACATAGGTGAGTACAAGAATGAATGAATTCTTTTCTGATTTGATAAACAAGGAATAATCCTGTTTGGATTGTTGAAAACCAAATTTCCTTAAGAATTTGGTAAGTTCAATATTCCATTGTCTAGAAGCTTGTTTTAGGCCATAAAGTGACCTTTTTAATCTGCATACTTGATCAGATTTGGCTCTATCATATCCTTCTGGAACTTCCATATATACTTCTTCATCAACAAAGCCATGTAATAAGGCATTATTTATATCCAATTGATGTATTTTCCATTGTTTTGCTGCAGCTAAAGCAATGACTGTTCTGACAGTGATGAATTTTGCTACTGGGCTAAAGGTATGTTTAAAGTCTTTTCCTTTGATCTGATTGTATCCCTTTGCCACTAAACGAGCTTTGTATCTTTCAACTGTCCCATCAGGCCTGAACTTGATTTTATACACTCATTTAGCTCCTATTGTTTTCTTCCCTGCAGGTAGGGAAGTAAGTTCCCATGTGTTGTTTTTCTCTAAAGCTTGAAGTTCTTGTTGCATGGTTGTTACCCACCTTTCATCTTTTATAGCTTCCTTGAAAGAAACAGGCTCATATGTTTGAAAGGTATTTGCCAAGGAGGCAACATATTCAGGAGCAAACATGTCCAAAGATGAACATATCATGTTGGCAAGGTGCAAACTATTGTTCTGTGTTTCTGGAAGCAAGGATTTTGGAATATCTTTACAGATAAAGTCTTGTAGTTTCTGTGGTATGGCTCTTATTCTTGAAGATTTCCTTTGTGGTTGATCAGTAATCTTGGGAATGTGGTTTTGATTGGTTTTAGGAGGATTTGAACTCTCATGATGGATTGAGATTGAATGTTGATGTTCAGGTGGATTTGTAGTTTCAGGAGGAATATATGTATCATCCTGAATGGGAGTGGTATTACCAAGTGGGAAAAATGTCTCATATATATCAGAACAGTTCTCCTTGAGACCTTTGAAAGGAAATTTATTTTCCTTAAATATGACATCTCTGCTCATGAAAATTCTTTGTGCTTCAAGATCATACATCTTGTATCCTTTTTTACCAAAAGGATAACCTATCATGATACATTTGATTGCTCTTTTGTCCATCTTATCATTGGTTTTTACAGCTGCATAACTGAGACAACCAAAGACTCTTAAATTCTGATAATCTGGATTCTTGTTATGAAGTACTTCAAATGGTGTTTTCCAGTTTATGACAGATGATGGCATAATGTTGATCAAGTGAGTAGCAGTTAGTATACATTCTCCCCAAAATCTTTTAGGTAATTCAGCTTGAATTCTCAATGCAGGAGCAGTATCTAATAGATGCCTGTGTTTTCTTTCAACCTTCCCATTTTGCTGAGGATTTCCTGGGATACTTCTTTGATGTATGATTCCTTTGTCTCTGAATAATTGACTGCAGGAAGCTTGAACAATTTCTGTTCCATTATCACTTCTAATAGTCTTAACCTTTGAGTCAAAATGTGTTTCTACATAGGCAAGAAAATTAGAAATTATATTTGGAACCTCAGTTTTGTCCTTTATTAGATATGTCTAAGTGTTTCTACTGTATAGTAAGGAAATATGAGGCTCCTGTAAGAGATTTGCATTTATAGGGGCCCCATAATTAAATCAATGTGAACAAGTTCAAATATAGCTGAAGTCACTGAGTTGCTTCTGTCAAAGGAAAGTTTGTGATGTTTAGCTAAAACACATGTTTCACATGATAAATCCTTGATTTTATTGAAAATAGAAGAATCATACAAATGTTGTAATTTGGACAGGGATGAATGACCTAGTCTAGCATGTAACAACATTGCATGATCAGAACTTGATTCTTCTATCACATGAGATTTATTCTTATCTAAGTAGCATGCAAATGCTTTATTTATACTATCATCAACTTCCAGTATGTATAAGCATGATCTCTTCCTTCCCAGACAAATCTTCTTGTCAAGCAAAGGGCCCTGAATAAAACATCCAGAATCATCAAATATTGCTGTCAAATTTGTGTTTTTGAGAAGTTTACCAATGGACAATAGGTTATGTTTAAACTCAAGTATGTATAGAACTCTTTGCAATGTGATTTCCTTAGATAATGTCACATCTCCAACAAGATCAACTTTCTTGATAGAACCATCAGGTAAGGCAATGAATATAGGTTTAAGTAATGAGGTTTTATTCCTTAAACCTTTGATATCACAAGTCATGTGCTCAGATGCTCCAGAATCAATGATCCATTTTGCAAAGAAAGGATTATTTGATTCTGTATTGATATGTGAAGCAGAAATCATACCTGCCAGATTGAAACTAGATGAGGATGAACCAAATTCATACTGATGGTTGTCATTATTCCTCTGAGACATAAAAGCCTGAACAATTTTAGGATCCATCTGCCTTAGCATTGAGAACTCTGACTCTATTCCAGCTTCATCAACTTCATCTTGTATTATGCCTTTCTGTTTCTTGTTAGAGATGACATTTCCAACAAAAGTAGCTACATCAGAAGTAGATTGATTATTTGATTCAATGTTTCCAGCAAACCTCTTTTGCCCATTGCCATTTTCTGAGTTCTTTAATTGAATTTTCCCTTTGTACCCTTTGAACCAATCCGGGTAACCCTTGATTTCAAAGCAATCTTTCATCAGATGACCTTTTTTATTGCAATGTGTGCATACTGGGGACTGTTTTTCAAGCTTGAGTTTCTGATGATCTGCCTTGGTCATGGATTTGTTCTGTTCAACTCCTTTGCTATGGAAATTTCCAATTGACTTATTGTATTGATTCACAACCATAGCCATTTCTCTAGAAACTTCATTGTAATGATTAGTTATTGTCTTCTGCATCTCAACTTGTTGAACACGGAAGAACGCTTGATTAACAGAAGGTAATGGGTCAATGGCTAGGATTTGGTTTCTTATGGTTTCATAGATATCATCCAGTCCCATAAGAAATTCCAGAAGTTTATGTCTATTGTCTCTATCAATAATTTTCTTCAGAAGATTGCAAGAGCAATTTTTCGCAGAACCACATTCACAAACAGGTAATGGATCCAAAGCATTAATATCTTCCCAAACTGATTTCATATTTCCATAATATTCAGCAACATGTTTACCTTCTTGTTTAATTGTCGTCAGGTCTCTTTTTAGCTGGTAGA